CTAAATATTTCAATTATAGTCTTTTCAAAATAAACCTTATAATTGAATATAAATATAATTAATTTTAAATAAATTTTTTTTATAAATAAAATTTATTATTATTATAAATAAATGATATATAAAATATACCATATTTATTTTCTATTAATGTATATTTATAAAAAATATAACCAAAAATTAATCCTAAAAGAATTATTTTAAATACTATAAATTTATAATTCTTCGAGTATCGGTTTACGTTTCGCTTTTGTATTTTCTGTACAATTTAGAGGGAGAAAGGATGAGTTTTTTGAATCGAGAAAATTATACGTTTTTTTAAAAAATTTGGACGTTAAACGTTCTTTTTATTTTTAGTATCGTTCGTATCAAAGTTGTTAGATTTTCTTTTTTTTTTAAATTTAAGATAATAATTAGGGAAGGATGAATTCGTATTAGTTTTATGGAAAAATCTAATGTTTTGAAATTTTATTTAGAATTAAAAAGTTAGAAAAGATGAATGTTTGTTGAGGAGACTATATTTCCATTAATTCGAGATGTTTCATCGAATTTTGTGTTATCAATATTTATATTTGAAATTGTTAGACGATTTTCGAGAAAGTTTTAAAATAAAAATAAAAACGAAATTTTAATGAAATTTCTTTCTTTGTCGAGGGAAAGTTTCTGAAACGAAGGGAGAAAGGGAGAGCAGTTTTTCATAAAAATCTCGGTTCCCGGACTATCTACTGGTAGAGATCTGTCGACTCGGTTGCAGTGGGATTAAAACGCTTTTCGAGTTTGTCCCGTTGGTCTCGATTTTGATATGAAACGTGCTCCGAGGTGTTCAAGTTAGATGTTGGTGAATAGGAATAGATAGGATAAAGATAGGGAAAAAATGGAAATGACAGAGCGTCGTATCTGGTTAATCGAATGGGATTACCTATATCGTTTCGTTGGGCAGGATGCATAATAAATCAAAAGGAGTGGGTGGTAAAATTCGAAGTGGATGTCCTTTCGACCTCCTTTCAATCCAATAACCTATTATTCCACGTTAGATGTCACGTTCTATTGAAAATTATCGAACTGCTTCTAATTATCCTCATAAAGTAGTGGAAAGATTAAAATTTATCCCCTTCAAAAAAAGATTAATTATAATCCATTCAATTTGAAACGACAAACAAATAAACGAAGAAATTGCCAAGAAGATATTATATACAAGAAATCCTAAAAAAAAAATAAGAAGCCTGTTATGCTTTCTCCCAATTGAAACAATTTCATTTTTCCACTCTTAAGAAAAGAAGATTGAGAAGAAAAGGGAGGGGGTTTGTCTTCGCTCCGGTTGAAAAGAGTCAAGGTCGGTAATTAGGGGGAAAAGAAGAAGTCCCCCATCGAAGTTTCGTCGTTTTTATTTTATCATATTAATCATTTATTTCTCGTGACAGGTTGGAAAATTGAAAACGTGTTTACCCTGTAATGAGAGTCTGGAATTTTTTTTTCTTCTTCTTCTTTTTTTCTCTCTCGTGTTAATCAAGTTACTGTCTCGTTTTGGTTGAGAGACTAAAAAAAATCGAGGATCCCTTCAAATCCTGTGAAAATAGCAATATCGTTCTACGAAGAGGAACAAATGTGTTTCTATTAGCGTTTCTTCCGTTGGATTAAATCGAATTCTAAGACTCGATTATTCTTTATATTGAGATAGAATTTGAACAAGACTTCTTTCAAAGTTTGTTGTTTATGCAAAAATTTAAGTACTTTGTATTGGATCAAAAATCAAATAATACCGATTTGTAATATTTTGGAATATTTTAAAAAAATAATTCGGACGAAAATTGTAAGATCGATTATTTCGATATCTGCAATTGAAGAATTTTAGAACCATCAAATTTTGAATAGAGAATAGATAATCATTTTCATTCAAAAAATATTAATTCCCAGAATAAAAATTTCGATTTTCAACGATATTACAGAATTAAAAAAATATTCAGATTAATAAAAGTTTAAGGGACCGGAAAGAGAATATTCGATTTTACGAATAAAAAATTCTACGAGTTACATTACCACAGTTCGAAAATAATAATAATAATTTCCAACTTCAACGATACATCGATGCTAAAATAATTAATCAAAAAAAAAAAAAAAAAAAGAAA